TCTTTTCACTTGGAGGAAAACTCTTGGAGCTGTGGGTGCTCCATGTACAGTGTTACATGCTATCATCAGATTAAAATGTTTCATCTCAAGGAAAGAGTCATTGAGTTACTTTTGTTTTGTTGTATTGCTTTGTATTCTTTCTTTTTTATTTTAGGTACTTGGCTAATCTAACAGAGTGTAAATACAATATAAATTATTTATATTAACCTGAGAGATCATACATACATGCACATTTTTTGCCTGTTCCTCTTTTCCCCTGCATTCCGTCCATTCTTGGCACTGAGCCAGTCAACAGCTATCTGCCAGGGATCTGCTAGGTTGCCCAAACTGTACTATATACATTGAGGATTCACTGGAAATAAAAGATATTAATATCTTTCTTGCTCTTGAGAAGCTCTCAGGGATTCAGTGTTTGAGTGAGTGTGAGAAGTTGTAACTACTCCAAAACAGAAAAGCTATGTGGATAGTGGGCCTGGATTTCTGAGATGACCTTAAAAGATGCCGGAGTTATCTTGTAAAGAGTTTTGATTTGTTAGGATGTTGATTTGGTTGCTTTAACAGAGACAAGATGGAAATGTATTTATTTATTTATAAGTTCAAACTGGAAATCTAATGTTGATCACTGTGATTGCAGTTAACAGTACTGTACTGTATACTTCAAATTTGCTAGATTGGGTAGATCTGTGTTCTCACCACAGGAAAGAGAGAGGGAGGGAGGGAAGGAGGGAGGAAGAAAATGGTAACTATGGGAAGCTATGGTTATATTAATTAGCTTGATTTTATTAGCTTGCAGGTAGATAGAGCCACAGGACCAAGTTCTGGCCAAAGAGATGTGAAAAAGTGAAGATGGTAAATTTAAGGTTGTACCTTGAAAAAGAAGAGGTAATCCTACTTCCCAACTTGCTGGAAGCTGGATATAGGGGTGGTAACATCTATCTTTGATTAGATGGAGGGAACTGAATCCCTGGACCACCTCAAGGATTAGAGCCTTACCACTATGCCATTAACCGCCACCCCATCAGTTTTACTGAGGTATAATTGACAAAATTGTAATTTATTTAAAGTGTACAACATGATTTGATATAACTATACAAACAGTATACATTGTGAAAGGATTTATTCCATTGGGGGCCACCTTTTGGAGCAACTGAGGATTAGATGTATTCCTATTTCATACAAAGAATGGGGGGGGTGGGGTGAGATAAGAGTACCAGGACTTTTGGGGAATGAATATGTGTGTAGTAAGACAGGAGGGTTGTGAAATTGCATGCCTCATCTCAGGACTTAATGACGCTCAGGTTTTTTATATCTCAGCACAGAAGGAATTCAGCAAGAGACAAAGGTAAGCAGTAGATTTATTAATATGGGATGCTTGTGAAGGGTATCAGTGGGCAGGCAAGAGGGCTCTTCCTGATAACTAAGTGGGTTTTTTTTTTATATCAAAGGAAAAGTGGGGAGGTAGAGAATGAAGGAGGAAACAGGACAGGCTCCATCTTGGGCCAGACTGTGGACTTGGAGCTTTATGCCCAGTATCTATGGAAATGACATACCAACTGGAAAACCAAACCCCCTGGATGGAAGAGCCCCAGGGTTCCTACCTAGACTCTCCCTCGCCTAAAATACCCTAATTATCTGTGTAACCAAATAGAATCATAAATTCTATTATGCTTATTGGGGTATGACCACAGGCCTATTAATAATTGTCCACTGTTAACTACCTAGGCTTAAGGCATATGAATCAACGGGTTAACTTTGATTGTATCTTTCTTTTCCTTTGTTCAGACTAGTTTCAGGAAATTTGGGGAGGTGGGTTTGGGCACGTATACTTAGGGTATATAAGGTTTTCACAAAAACTGGTCAGGGTCCTTGGCTAAGAAGAGACTCTGCCTTAGTTCCGCTGGTGTAATAAACTCCACTATCTGCATTGTCATTCTGGGTGAGCTTGTTTCCCGGAACACGTGGCTACAAGAAGACCACTTTCTTCCTCTTCTTTCATGAATATGTTGCAGGAAAATGGGGCACAAGAGGATGGTCTTGTCCTAGGTTTTGGGATGGGCTACCAAGTGAAGGTCCTTAAATTCAGGAAAGAATTTAAGAGCAAGCCATAGTAAAGTGAAAGCAGTTTTACTGGGAGATACACATTCTGTTACTGAACTTGTGTTCATGTGCCTGATGCACAATTAGGCCAAACAATACCTAAACATTGGAGTTTGGAGCAGAGAAAGACTTACTGCAGAGCCATGCAAGGAGATGGGTGGCTCATGCCCCTGAACCCCTTCCCCTTCCCCACCCCCAGCCCCATTTCCCAAAAGGTTTCAGCAAAGCATTTTTAAAAGGTCAGGTGAGGGAGTGGGGTTGTAGGGTGTATGATCAGCTTGTGTACAATTCTCTAATTGGTTGATTGTGAGGTAAGAGGGTGATGTCACTGGAGTTAACATAATCCTTAGGCTCTAGGAGACCTGGGGGCTAGGTGTCCTTGGTCATCAAATAGTTAAATATCTTCCATTTAGTGGGGGCTTTCACATGTGTAAAACTACTCAGGAAATATGCATCAGGTACTATTATCTCAGTACTTCAGAGAGGAGCTAAAGCAGAGGATACTGGGGGAAGGGTCTGTGTCAGAAGGCCCCGTGGGGGTCTCAGTTGAGTTCAGTAGCTCAGTCGTGTCTGATTCTTTGCAACCCCATAAATTGCAGCACACCAGGCCTCCCTGTCCATCACCAACTCCCAGAATTTACTCAAACTCATGTCCATCGAGTCGGTGATGCCATCCAACCATCTCATCCTCTGTCGTCCCCTTCTCCTCCTGCCCCCAATCCCTCCCAGCATCAGGGTCTTTTCCAATGAGTCAACTCTTCGCATGAGGTAGCCAAAGTATTGGAGTTTCAGCTTCAGCATCAGTCCTTCCAGTGAACACCCAGGACTGATCTTTAGGATGGACTGGTTGGACTAGTTGGTTACAATTACATAAGTAGTCTGTCTCAAGAGGCAAAGCAGCCCTGAATTGTGGGATGGTTAGTTTTTATGGGCCGGGTATTTCCGTAGGCTAAAGAGTAGAAGGAATATTCTAATCACCTTGGAGAAGGGGTGGGGATTTCCATGATTTGGGCCACTGCCCACTTTTTGGCCTTTCAATCTTGGCCTTGGAACTGTCATGATGCCTGTGTTTGTGTCATTTAGCATGCTAGTGCATTACAATGAGTATAATGAGGCTCAAGGTCTACTGAAGTTGAATCTTCCACAATTTTGGGCCTAGTCAGTTCTAACTAGTTTTTGTTGTATCCAGTTTTTTTCAAGGCTGTGTTATCTTTTAAGGATTGTGCCCTGCCCCCTTCTCTTTTTGTTTATACCTTCTCCAGTCTTCCCAGCAAGAAAAGGAGAGGTGAAAGGCAGAGGGCTGCTCTTGACTATAACCACAAGGTGCTATTAGTGACTAGACCAAGAGGCAAACAGCTTTGCAGAGAAATATTCATGAAATTCCCACTCTTTCCCACAATTGACATTTGATAACTCTGGAAAGAAAACCCAAATAAAAGTGTGCTGCAGATTGGGGCCCAAGGGAACACTAGGTGTTCCTGCTCCAGAATGAAGACTGCCAGTGCACTGTGGTTTAATGCGCTGCAGCTAGAGGTTCGGAAAGTCAGCAAAGTGTAATAGAGGCCTGGATGTCAAGTCATCTAACACAGGTTATCAGTGCAGTGCCAGGACTACCAGGGTGATGACACGCAATTCCTGTGGTTAGCTCACTGCCCTGAGCAGAGAGTGTGTTTGCCCATCTCAGGCTGTAAGCACTGCTGGAGAGGTGGAGGTGGGGGAAGCTGGTCACCACCAAAGCTAGTAGTCTGCCAGACAGAGAGGAGATAGAGATTGTCTGCAAATGTCTGACAGGCCTGATTTCTGTGAGAGGATCGAGAATCTTATCAAGGGTGTGTCTCAGACTGAACTGTATAACCTGGCCACATAATAGTGCCGGGGCAGAAGAGACCATCATCTCACGGTGGGAATGTTGCAGGGAGGAAGCCAATTCGGACTCCATGTTCGAAATTGTTTCTTTGATTTCTCATTGCTTTATTATTATAATCATACTTAATGGCCTCCCTGGAGGACCCTGCCCCTCTGCTTGACAGGAAAGTGCCTTTGTTCAGCTCTTGGAGAGACAGTTTGTTCCTGCCCACCTGTGAATAGAGATTAACACACCCCATCCAAAGGCTGACCAATCCCTTGGAGATGTTTTGCAAGACTGAAGACCCTTTCACTTTACTTCCCCACCACCTCTCCCTCTCTAGTCTGTTTTTTTATTTTAGTTCCTCCCTGCTTCTTTCTCTCTGATCTGTAAAAGAACCTGGCGTCCATAAGATGGTTATTTTGAAGCACTAACCTGCCATCGTCTCTGTCAGCTGCTTTTTGAAAAAGCTGTTTTTCCTGCCTCAACACCTCCTCCCTTGGCCTGTTGTGTGGCGAGCAGAGCAGGCTTGGACTCCATAACAGGAAAGGGCAGCTAAACTGGGCTGGGAAGGTTGGTGGAGAGACAGGCAGGAAGGAGCAGGGCATAGGGCATTTTGTTAAATTAGCCTTGGATGCCATCCTCCAGGCAGAGGCAATAATCAAAGCAAGGCGGAGGGTCAGATGGTGTTTGAAGAGGATGCTGACGGAGGCTCCTTGCGGGGAGTAGTGAGGTTGAGGCGCGTTGGGAGGCTGCTAGTTAAGATGAGGGAAGTGGAGGGCTTGAAGCAGGGCTCAACTTGCTTGAAAGGAGAGAAGGGGAAACGACTTCACACGTAGGATAAGGGCTTGTGCTAGACGGGGAGGAGAGAAAGCAGCTCTGGGTACTCGGTGGGTGGGCGGAAAAGATGGTACTGACTCGCACAGAGTCGGACACGACTGAAGCGACTTTGCAGCAGCAGCAGCAGCAAGACCTGGAGATACATGAGTGCTAGGAGATACTGAAGACAGGAGCTGGATCGGACGCGTGCAGTGGATCATCCAGGTAGGGGAAAAAAATCACTTCCTGCCCCTGAAGCCCTAGCCGGCTTCTTCCTTAAGCTCGGGGCTGGTCAGAGTCTTCCGAACGCGTCCGGCCTCGCGGGTTGGGCGGCGGGTCGTCCGGGGTGTGGCTACCGCCGGCCCCTCCTCCGCGGGCTCCCAGCCAAGTCGGTTGCTCAGCTCTCGGCTCAGGGTCTAGGCTCTGGCCCTCATCGCTACCCGCACCCGCACTCACCCCTTTACCGGTAAGATTGCGGCTCCGCTCCCTTTCTCGCTCTGGGGCCCCTCCCCGCTCGTGCCGCGTCAAGTGGGTCCCGGGCCGCAGGCGTCCCCTGGGTCCCGCAGGCGTCCCCTGGGTCCCGCAGGCCTGGCTTTATCCCAAGATTTGGCCGCGTGTCCTCCGCGGCAGCTCTGGACGGCCGAGGGGCGGCGGCTGGGTGCGGGTAGTGCTTGGCTTCCAAAAGGTCACGTAGCGGCGGGCGGCGGCGGGCGGCTGCGGGCTGGGGCGGGCAGGCGCGGGCGCCACGTGGCCTCCTGGCCGGCGTCTAAACCCCCGCGAGGCCTGTGTGGGCGCGGACACCGGGCCTTGATTACACCTGCCGCCCACAGGACCATGGCCCACGCGGAGCGCACCTTTATTGCTATCAAGCCCGACGGCGTGCAGCGCGGCCTGGTGGGCGAGATCATCAAGCGCTTCGAGCAGAAGGGATTCCGCCTTGTGGCCATGAAGTTCCTTCAGGTGATGCGCCCCGCTCCCTTTCCCCCGGCTCCGGCGTGGTCACGGGTGGTTTTCCTTCCCCGCAGCGCCGATCCGCGTCCTTTTCCTAGTGGGAAAATCTGGCTGATCTAGGGTCCGCGAGAACTTCCTTTCCCCTCCCTCCCCAGGGCGCCTGGGGCCCGCAGACCCTTCCCCAGGCCCCGGGGGCGGGGTGTGGGCGGGCACTCTTGGAAGGTTAAACGGAGGTAAAGTGACTCAGGTTGCGATGGGGCTGTGAGCCGCAGGAGGGCAGCAGGGAGTGGAGAAGGCCTTGTCCTGGGCCCATGCGAGTCCACCCAGGCACAGGATGGAGGCTGTAATCCTTTTGTGCTTCAGTTTTGCAACTCTGAGATGACTGAGGTTTTAGATGGGGCTTCCGTTCCTCTGCCCTTTCCCTGCAGGCTCCCTTTGGCATAGGACAACTTTTTATTTTCACATTAAATTTGGGGCACAAATCTGGACCTCAGGGGATACATATCTAAGAACTGAATTTTTAAACCAAGCTCCTCAGTGAAGAGATACTTCAGTTAACATCAGAAACGTTTAAAAGGGCCAGATGATTTGATATGGCCTCTGTTTGGAATAGTTCCTTTGATTGTAGCTAACACTTAACTCCATAACCACCTTCTTTTCAGAATTATAACATCTGTATTACAAGGTCATTGACATGATAGTGTGTGTTCACAATCAGAAGAATCTTTCTGCTAACAAACCATCAGTTTCATGGTTTGGATGGAATTTTTAAAAAAAACACATCTTATGAATGTGAACTTAAATACATAACCAGACTTTTAGAGAACCTACTAAGTTACTGGGGTAGGGAGGAGACCTGAGGAGTTTAATTCCTAATTGGTACCTTCTCTTCAATGCCAAGGCCTCTGAGGAACTCCTGAAGCAGCACTACATTGACCTGAAAGACCGCCCATTCTTTCCAGGGCTGGTGAAGTACATGAACTCAGGGCCAGTTGTGGCCATGGTAAGTTTCTTGTGGTGGAGGAGGTGGAACCAAGTGGAAGAATAACAGCTGATAGGTAACTGGGTTCGCTCAACGTCTTCATGTCCCTTTTTAGACATCATCTCCAGATACCCCAAATTCTTTGTTTTACAAATGCAGCCTGCTTGTAGTTAGTTTACAAAGCAACTGGGAGCTTGGGAGGAAAAAGGAAGCGAGAATCAGACATAACCAAAAGTTCCTTTAATCCTGTGCTAGAAATGGTCTGTTTCTTCCTGTGGCATTAACGTCCAATTAGAAGTGAAATAAATAGAAGCAGGGGGTATAATAGAGTCAATAAAATTGTTGAGAAAGAAGACCTACTTCCTATTCCCTGACAGTAACCTTTTCTTCTTTCTGCTTTTCCCTGGAATACACTTTCCCCTTTCATGTCAGTTTTTGCCATGTCTTGCTCTACCAGTCTTCTATGATGCCCTTCCCACTGATCCCGTTCTAGTTTGGTCACTTTTCTTTACCCTTTCATCATTACTTTTTTAGAGTTTGTGACTGCACAAGAATTCTTCAGTCTTGTTAATCTCTTTCAGTCAGACTAGGAAGTCAAGTTGGGCAGACCTTTTCTCTGTATCCTAGCAATACACTTGGGAAGGAGTATGGAGTATTTTATATCAGCCCCTATAACTTCTGGGGTTGGTTGATAATCAGGTCACTGATTGGTCTGATTGATGTGTGCTGTTGTTCCGTTGAAGTTGCATTCAACTCTCTGCAACCCCATGGAATGTAGCTCACCAGGCTTCCCTGTCCTTCACTATCTCATGGAGTTTGTGCAAAATGTCCATTGAGTCGGGGATGCCATCCAAATATCTCATCCTCTGTCACCCCCTTCTCCTGCTCTCAGTCTTTCCCAGAATCAGGGTCTTTTCCAATGAATTGGCTCTTCGCACCAGGTAGCAGTAATATTGGAGCTTTAGCATATCTTTCCAATGAATATTCAGGGTTGATTTCCATTAGGATTGACTGGTTTGATTTCTTTGCTGTCCAAGGGACTCTCAAGAGCCTTCTCTGGCATCACAATTCGAAGCATCAATTCTTTGGCACTCAGTCTTCTTCATGGTCCAACACTGAATTTGTACATGACTACTGGAAAAACCATAGCTTTGACTAGACGGACCTTCGTTGGCAAAGTGATGTCTCTGCTTTTTAATAGGCTTTCTAAAGAGTCACACACGACACTGAGTGACTGAACTGAACTAGGTTTGTCATAGCTTTCCTTCCAAGGAGCAAGTATCTTAATTTCATGGCTGCAGTCACCATTCGCAGTGATTTTGGAGCTCAAGAAAATAAAATCTGTCACTGCTTCCATTTTTTCCCCTTCTATTTGCCATGAAGTGATGGGACTGGATGCCATGATGTTAAAGTTTTTTAATGTTGAGTTTCAATCCACTCTTTCACCCTCATCAAGAGACTCTGTTTCCTCTTCACTTTCTGCCATCAGAGTGGTATCATCTGCATATCTGAGGTTGATCTCCTGTCAATCTTTTTCTTTTTCTCCCCTTCTGGCAATTTTGATTCCAGCTTGTGATTCATCCAGCCTGGCATTTCACATGATAGACTCTACATATAAGTTAAATAAGCAGGGTGATAATATATGGCCTCCTTGTGGTATACCTTCCCCAGTTTGGAACCAGTCAGTTGTTCCATGTCTGGTTCTAACTATTGCTTCTTGACTTGCATATAGGTTTCTCAAGAGGCAGGTAAAGTGGTCTGGTATTCCCGTCTCTTTAAGAATTTCCCACTTCACTTTGTTGTGATCCACGCAGTCAAAGGCTTTAGTGTAGTCAATGAAGCAGAAGTAGATGTTTTCTGGAATTCCCTTGCTTTCTCTATGATCCAGCAAATGCTGGCAATTTGATCTCTGGTTCCTCTGCCTTTTCTAAATCCAGCTTGTACAATTGGAAGTTCTCAGTTCATGTACAGTTGAAGCATCACTTGAAGGATTTTTGAGCATTACCTTGCTAGCATGTGAAGTGAGCTTAACTGTATAGTAGGTTTGAACATTCTTTGGCATTGCCCTTCTTTGGGATAGGAATGAAAACTGACCTTTTCCAGTCCTGTGGCCATTGCTGAGTTTTCCAAATTTGCTGGCATATAGAGTGTAGCACTTTTAACAGCATCATCTTTTAGGATTTTTTTTTTAATAATAGTTTGTTTTGGGCTGTGCTAGGTCTCTGTTGCTGCGAGGGCTTTTCTACAGTCGCAGCAAGCAGGGCCTACTCTAGTTGTGGACCTCAGGCTTCTCACTGAGGTGGTGTCTCCTGTTGCAGACCATGGGCTCTACAGTGCTGGGGCTGCAGCCGTTGTGGCCCATGAGCTCAGTAGTTGCTGCTCCTACACTCGAGAGCACAGGCTCAGTGGTTTGGGCATACAGGCTTAGCTGCCTGTGGCATGTGGAATCTTCCCAGATCAGGGATTGAACCTGTGTCTTCTGCATTGGCAGGTGGATTCTTCACCACTAGCCACCAGGGAAGCCCCATCTTTTAGGATTTTAAATAGCTCAGCTGGAATTCCATCACCTCCACTAGCTTTGCTCATAATAATGCTTCCTAAGGCCCACTAAAGGCATCCCAGGTGGCGCTAGTGGTAAAGAACCTGCCTGCCAATGCGGGAGACAAAAGAGATATGGGTTCAATCCCTGGTTTGGGAAGATCCCCTGAAGAAGGAAAGGGCAACCCACTCCAGTATTCTTGCCTGGAGAATCCCATGGATAGAGGAGCCTGGCAGGCTGCAGTCCGAGAGGTCACAAAGAGTCGGACATGACTGAAGTGACTTAGCACTAGCATTAAGGCCCACTAAGACTTCACACTTCAGGATGTCTGGCTGTAAGTGAGTGACGACACCATGATGGATATCTGGGTCATTAAGACCTTTTTTGTGTAGTTCCTCTGTGTATTCTTGCCACTTCTTAATTTTGTCTTCCATTAGGTCCTTACTGTTTGTCCTTTATCATGCTTGTCCTTGCATGAAAAATTGGTATCTCCAAAAGAAATCTCTTGTCTTTCCCATTATATTTTTTCCCTAAGAAGGCCTTCTTCTCTCTCCTTGCTATTCTCTAGAACTCTACTTTCAGTTGGATGTATCTTTCCTTTTATTTCTCTTTTCTCAGCTATTTGTAAGGCTTCCTCAGACTGGTTGTCTGCCTTCTTGCATTTCTTTTTCATACGGATGGTTTTGGCCACTGCCTCTTGTACAGTGTTACGAACCTCTGATCATAGTTCTTCAGGCACTCTCCCTTCCAGATCTAACCTCTTGATTCTATTTGTCATCTCCACTATATAATCGTAAGGCATTTGATTTAGGTAGTATCTGAATGGCCCAGTGGTTTTCCCTACTTTCTTCAATTTAAGCTTGAATTTTGCCATAAGGAGCTCATGGTCTGAGCCACAGTCAGCTCCAGGTCTTGTATTTGCTAACTATATAGAGCTGCTCCATCTTTGGCTGCAAAGAATCTGATTGTGGTATTGACCATCTGGTGATGTCCACAGATAGAATTTATCTTGCGTTGTTGGAAAAGGGTGTTTGAGATGATCAGTGTGTGCTATTAGGTAGAGGTAAATGTTTTCAGTGGTCCTGATGGCAGAACTGATGTACTTCTTTTTTCCTACTGTCGAGAGGTCTGGGAGGGCCTGAATGTAGTGAAGACAGGACGAGTGATGCTTGGGGAGACCAATCCAGCAGATTCTAAGCCAGGCACCATTCGTGGTGACTTCTGCATTCAAGTTGGCAGGTAAGTTCTAAGGGGCGTTAATCACTTTTCGTTAAAGCCACTTACTTTGGTTTTAAAACATATATTTTCGGCATGTTACAATTTTAGAAAAACTCGAACGTTTAAATTATGTGTTAATTATCACTGGAGGAATGCTTTCTTAAATAGTTACTTCTCTAGGCTACTTAAAATTTAACCCAAGACACTGTACAAGGGAGTTGCCATTAGGTCCTTTGTGACAACAGAAAGTGAAAAGAGTGGGGTGGGGCAAGAATGTTTTTAGTGTTGGCTCTGCCTTGGGGTGCTATGTCCAAGGATGTGTCACTTTTAGCCTTTTTGCTTCCCTCACTTACACAAAATGTTACAAAAATTTTACAAAGGAGATTCAAATGAAATAAAGGGAGTCTCAGTAAGTGTGAATGTTTTGGTTGGGCTTTGCAAATTAATGTTGTAACAAATACAGCAGAAATGGCTGTTAATAGTGTTATATCTTGTTTGGGGTTTGGCCTAGATAGTCCTGTATTTTTCAAAATTTGAGAAGGAATGTTTTGTGGCATGGCAATTCTGGGTATAAGCAGTGTTTCGAAAACTTAGAAACATAATAAAGTTGAACCACGGAATGCCTTTGAGTTCAGTATCATCATAGTTTTACAGTTGCTTTTAAGAGGAAATAATTTGGGGTCATCAGCTGCTTCAAGGGGCAACTGGCTGAAAAAGTCTTTAGTGACTCTCTCTTGTTTCATCCATTAAACAGACTTTCTTGTACTTTAAAATGTGGTAACTAGTAATTCTTCTTCTTAGGAACATCATTCATGGCAGTGATTCAGTAAAAAGTGCTGAGAAAGAAATCAGCTTGTGGTTTAAGCCTGAAGAACTGATTGAATACAAGTCTTGTGCTGTTGACTGGATATATGAATAAGAGATGGTCAGAGCATCAGTCCCTTCAGGCACCACTTCCTGTGTTCCTGGGCACAGCTCTTCATTCCGCTGATATGGAAGAAGCAGGATGGATGTTTCTTAAGCATATTTACCAATAAAGCCTTTAAAAACTGCATACAGCTTCCCGTGATTACTCGTTATTAAGCTGGAAGAAGTGACTTGGTCCCCTGCTATTGTAGTGTTATCCAGAATGAATTAATTCTGCTTGTTATGGAAAACTCATCTGATCCTTCTCAGCACCTAGTATACTTCCAGACTAAAAGGAAAGCAGTGAGGCTGAAGAGGACAAGTGCGGCACTGGTTGCCTATCTGAGGCAACTGAGGAAATAATGAACACTGTAAGATCTCAACCATCTAGCGGATGTAGAACTGCACATTTCTGTACAAAAATTCTGTTGCAACTTTGTAGGATAAACAGACTAGTCAAGTTGTCCAGATTTACACTCTTCTTGACTGCAAATTGGGCAAGTTGAAGAAGTGGAAAATGGAAACCTAAGGATATCAGTAAGATGAGGATGATACCATGGCAATGCAGGGTTAAATGAAATAATGTATGTAAAGCTGTTTGACCTAGTGCCTGGCCCATGGCTGGTACAGAAATATTCCCTGCAATCCTACCTCCCTTCTTACTGTCTACCCTAGGATGGGATATTTAAGATTATTCCCTGGGCTAAAAATAGTTAAGTGGTTACAAAATCCATATTGTCTGTTTTTAAGGTTAATTTTACTGGACTGACAGTTGTAAAATGATACCAAACAGTACCCATCATTATCATCCGGATTTTGCCTTAAAAATGAGATTATAGAAATATGTGGATTTATGAATAGCTGTTTTTGGAAACCAGTGACAGCTTTTTTTATGTCACTTCCACATAAAAGACTTAACATTATGTGGTTTGTTTCTTTTGCCACAGGATTCTCAGTTCCCCAATCAGGTATTGAAGCCAGGCCACTACAATGAAAGCCTTAAACTCATGTCCGTTGAGTCAGTGATGCCATCCAACCATCTAAAAATCCTCTGTTGTCCCCTTCTCCTCCTGCCTTCAATCTTTCCCAACATCAGGGTCTTTTCAAATGAGTCAGCTCTTTGCATCAGGTGGCCAAAGTATTGGAGTTTCAGCTTCAACATCAAGTCCTTCCAATGAACACCCAGGACTCATCTCCTTTAGAATGGACTGGTTGGATCTCCTTGCAGTCCAAGGGACTCTCAAGAGTCTTCTCCAACACCACAGTTCAAAAGCATCAAATCTATGGTGCTCAGCTTTCTTTATATTCCAACTCTCACATCCAAACATGACTACTGGAAAAATTATAGCCTTGACTAGATGGACCTTTGTTGACAAAGTGATGTCTCTGCTTTTTAATGTGCTGTCTAGGTTGGTCATAACTTTCCTTCCAAGGAGTAAGCATCTTTTAATTTCATGGCTGCAGTCACCATCTGCAGTGATTTTGGAGCCAGAAAAATAAAGTCTGTCACTGTTTCCACTGTTTCCCCATCTATTTGCCATGAAGTGATGGGACCAGAT